GATCCTCAAGTCGGGATGAAAACTCGCCGATTCTTTATTCATTCGCAATCAAAATTAAAAGCCATCATCACTATCTGCGGCGGTATCGAGACTGAAAAGGGCAGGCAGTTGGGGGGGGAAAGCTTGTCGGCCGGGAAATCCGCTAGGGTCACGTGAAGGACCCTGGCACACGCTATCCCGCCCGAGAGATTAGCGCAGGGTTCGTCTAGTGGGACGTGCACGGCTAGGCTAAGCTGCAACTGGCTGATCCTGCGTAACCTCGCTCGACTCGTTCCCGGTACCTGGATCAGCCAACCGTTTTTTAGAGTTTTACAACTTATGCTTATCTATCGCCGATTACAAACAGTTACAAATCCAGAAAATGAAAGTTTGAATATCAGTCCGAGTCGGTAGTACGAATAGGTAAAGCTGACGGAGCAGTGAGTGCTGCTGACGAACGGGTGCGCGTTGTTCTTTTCACGGTGCTTCACCATGCGTGATCGAGCTCGGTTGAGAAGATACGACGTTGGTGTAATTTCATACTTCATCTACATGTACTCTAGTTCAATTCGCAATACCTACATGTAAGTACATGTATGTACCTACATGTATGTACGTACATACATGTGCTCAACGTTTATGCTTGGGTACCCCACATGTATTCGTCATTTTTTCTTGATATTCGTATATCTCCTCTGTGGCTTTCCCCATTCCCCGATACTCTATGCCTCACTTCCATCTCTTCACCTCCACCCCCTTCTTCTCTTTCTCCATCTCACCCTCCGTCGTTATATCTATACGAAAGATAACTGCATATACAACGCGCATGGCTAACATTCCCAAGATAAGAGGTTAACCTTGGGCAACCGCGCAAGTTGTTTGTAGAGTGAGTAGAGAAATCTAGGGCAGCTTGATAGTCGGCCAACTGCCTAGCTGACCAGATTCTGCGTTATTAGGATATCGGCACCCCATGATCGATTTCAGTCGCTCATGGACCCAGTGATTTTGAGTTGGCGGTAAAACTAGTCAGCAACTTGGAGACATTTAGTAACAGGACAAAGATATAGCTTACTTTGTATCCTCCTTCCTCTCGAGATTATTAGCAAATTCTTATGTCTGTGTCGATAAAACAAGTCACACACAAGGCAAAATATCTTGAAGCATAGTGTGCGTATCGGAATTTATTCGGGCTGGTAGAACTTCGGAAACTGAAGATCGTTCGAGTCTGTTTGCAGCACACAATCCATCAAATCTTCTAGTGCGAAGAGAATAAGAGCAGCACGGGGGGTATAGAGCTGTTTTTCATCACTCTTACCTTTCAGTTGATCAGTTGAAATTTGTGTGACCTTATGGCACTATATTAAGTATGCTTTGGCCAAGCGTCCCGACAGTCTCGGACGGGCCGGGCTCCCGGGTCACGGTAATCTTGGAATCTCGATATGCTAAACAACCGCAACGCACTTCAGATGTGTGGAATTTGAACCAAGGGCTTATTACTAATCGATGTTCTAAAATTCTCAGGCCAGTGCTGAGCGAATGTAGGTACACAGGTACTTGCGGACTTTCGGTCATAGTCAGTCACTCCATCTCGGCGATTTGGTATGCGAGCCCATGCGTCGCTCGCTCGATTCTGGCCGAATATTCTTGTTTTATATCCACTCTTATAATCAGGAGCTTCATATAATGATGATCAGTTCGACAGCGCATTTTCGGAGTCGGAACTATTGATGCCGAGTCACTGAGGCGTGTTGTTTCGGGAATTCTTCTGCCATACAGGGCCGGGTACCGGTTCCGCCAATATATTGAACACTTTTCATTGGTCTATAGATCTGACCGGGCATATAGGAACTTTACTCAACCTTGTTCAATACTCAAATAAGGTTGTCGCTTCTTTGAGTTTCCCTGGGATAAGATCAAACTAACTCATAGGGGAAATGATTTAACCCTAAGAATTAGAGCAGGGCATGAAATATGGTAGAGGAAGCTCCGTACAGGCAGTATGTCAGCTCTCAGGCACGTCGTTTTTCCCTTCATTTCTTTTATTTTTTCTTTCACCAAACAACAAAAAAGTGCCTCGAGCCATCTTAGCGGCATCGTTGCTGCCCGTATATTCCTGTAAAACCGTTCGGGAAAGGTGGTGTGGGAGAGCTTGAGATCCTACACCTACGGCGCTTCTTTCACCATATATATAGGAAGATCAAGATTAAATCGGTGTATTGTGTGTCGAGTGGTTGAGGATATATTGCAGATTATTGGAATTCTAGGAATAAATATGGTTCTTCATGACCAGCTGAAATGTAATGACAAGACTTATGAAAGAGTATTACCTCCGCCACTGTATTAAGAGTGTACCACATCTATTCAGGAGTAGAAACGATGGCTACCTAGGTTCCGGGACCTTGAGCCATATGACATTGATTGAAGTAGGTAACGTTTCGGGCACTGGGTGCAATCACCGACAGGACCGCACCCGCCAGGGCCTTGAGTATATGGTGTGTTAACCAGGTGCAGATGCTTCTAGATATCTCAAACAACCGAGTGTTACACGCGGTTTATGAACTCGGTACCTTTTCTGGCCGTTGACAGTAGGACGCCTTGCAAATGACAGCTCCACTAGCTCCACTTCGCACTCCCCGCCCCCGCCCCCCAACTCCCATTCTTTAAAGTCTAAATACACAGCGTGAGGTATGTAGACCCCTAGTGATGCAACACTTGGCGGCTCTGGAATAAAGTATTACAGGGGGAAAAAATCGTTGAATCCTTGCAGCTGCTGCTTATTCCCCACAAACGTGCTCATAAAAGGGCTTGGAAACGGCTTGGACAGGCGGAGGAATGCCCGAGATATCGGTAGCTATATTCGACTTCGATCCTTTGTAGTAGTGATAGTAGTAGTGTGTGGTAGTAGAGTCACGCCAGAGGAAATATGCTCATCAGTACCCACACAATTAATTGCGAACACTGACCACCTCTGGACACCTCACGGGGCTCCGATATTGTAGACAGCACGGTCCGGTATTTGTACTATTCGGTATAATTGAGAGCGAATCGATGAATCAAGTGAACTGTAGCCAGCATCTTGAAGGTTTCAGAGAATTGCAGACAAATCAACTCCAGAATAGGACTTTTGTTCGTAGTTTCCAGGGTTTGGAGTCGACTTCTATAAAGTCTTTAGGATTTCCACCCTTTCAATCTCTCATCACCACTCACCGCCACCAAAGTCTTCTCGATCATATCTACTCGTCTCTGCCCAATATGAAGTTCCTTGCCAGTTCTGTTGCTATTGCCGGTCTTGTGGCATATGTCTCTGCCGCTGCCACCACTGTTTTCCCCAGCGCAGCAAGCTCTACTACACTCTCTTCTCCGATCTCGGTTTCTGGAACCTACGATGGTGGAATGAAGCGTTTCAACAGAAACAGTGAGTAGTGTCCAGCTCAGAAAATCAAAGGGTAGGCTTTAATTGGAAGAATCTTTCTATAGATGGTTGCAATGAGGGCGAAGGCGGTGACGACGATGCCGTCTTTATCCTTTCGAGCGGAGCCACTCTCAAGAATGTCATTATTGGATCTGCTCAAACTGAGGGTGTTCACTGCCTCGGTCCTTGCACGATTCAGAATGTGTGGTGGGAGGATGTCTGCGAAGACGCCTTGTCGATTAAACAAACCTCTGGTACTTCGTACGTCATTGGTGGTGGAGCCAAACACGCCTCCGACAAAGGTATGGAAATTGCCCCATTTCCCGCGGTGCATTCACACGAGACTGATAGTTTGTAGTTATCCAGCACAATGGTGGTGGTACCGTTGATGTAAAGGACTTCTTCGTTGAGGATTTTGGAAAGCTTTACCGCTCGTGTGGAAACTGCGGAACTCAGTACAAGCGCACCTTTATTGCCTCTGGTGTTGTTGCTGTTGATGGAGGTACTCTTGCTGGGATCAACACCAACTATGGCGGTGAGTTATCATTCTGCCCCCCCCCCCCCTTCCCCCCTGTAGGCAGAATGGCTAATGCGATTGAATAGATACTGCCACGATCTCCAGCACCTGCACCTCCGAGGTTACTGATATCTGTCAGCGCTACACTGGTAATGATGATGGTGACGAGCCTGTCAAGACTGGTGCCGGGAATGATGGAACTTACTGCAAGTACGATTCTACTGTCACTAGACGTAGCACTTGCTATGCTTAGATCGTTGCCGTGGTAAGGGTTTAGTATTGAGGGTTTGGATAGTCGTTTATTTGGTAGCTAAATACGTGTATTGAGGGCTCTACATATCCGTTCGCATCAACGGAGGCGGAAATAACAAAATTTATCAGTCATACATGTGTGAGATGCTATAATTAAATCAATCAATACACATACCAATTTGGGGCATAGTGGAAGTCGAGTGATATATCGTGAACCAGATGTGCTTCCATCGCACGGGGCCTGGAATTCGTCGCAACTAACGCCGGCCAGCTCAACCGAGGCCACATGGAAAGTTGTGTCGTGCGGCAAACAGGATTCGCTCTTCCACCCGGAAATGGTCCGTGCTGAAACAGAAACCTCCTTCTTTTTCTTCTTCAACATCGGGTAAGCAGCGCCGCTGTGTTTGATAGCGACTCTTTGCGTTACCGCGGAACGAAGAGGAGCCCGATATCTGTTATAGTAGAGTGCTGTATTATGCTGCCGTCCTCTACGCTGCGTTTCAGCAGAAACATACACACAAACGGGGATGCCGGTTTCTTACCCGGTCTCGTCTTGATATACACATCTATGCCAGACGAGTTAAAAATCACTACTTTTCACAAGAAACAACCCCACGCCCATGATTTAGTGATCGAAAGTACGGTCCACAGTCGTTCACGGGGTGTTGACAAACACTGAGCGAGCGAAGACGAACCAGGGTTTGCAAGAGCCAAGCTGCCAAAGCGATCTTTCCCATCGTTCCCTATTTTCCCAAAAGTCACTGTTCGTCTACACCCAGTGTTTGTCCTCGCCCAGTGTTTACCTCGTGAACGACTGTACTCACAAAAAGCTAAAATAAATGCGCCGTAAGGGACTCGAACCCTTCCCAGTTGCTCACAATTGAATGGAAGGCAACTATGCTACCCCTGCACCAACGGCGCTTTGATTTCTCTTTCAAAGACTGTAATCGATACTCATTTATATCATTAGTTGACAGATAATTTCGTCGTTGAGAATCAATTTGCATGTTCACTAGCGTCATGCTACTATCGTAATTTGTACCTTAGTGCCGAGGCTTGCAATGGTATGGTGATGAGCACAGCCAGGCAACGGTATCCGAGCGCAATCGCGAATTTGTTGTTTGTGGATGTATCTGCTCTGCGAAAATTCATGGAATCGGAGCTGAGACATTCAATTTTATATGTGAGAAAGGTGTGGAATGCGTTTCCCACCATTTGTTGAGATTATACCTATGGCGAACTACATATCTAGCTAGTTTCTAGATCTCCAGGGTACGTGTACCTACTCTACGAGGTCATGTATATTGAGGGGAGAGTATACTCTAGGTAAATACGTACAGTTGCCCTCCGTTATAATGAGAAAATTCGTCGCGCTGCAGCAGGGGTATTCTCTACCAAAACCTGTCCTCTGGTTAGCTTATACCCCTGCTGAGGCGCGGCGGATATTCTCAAATACTGCGGTGTTCGGTACAGCAGGTAAAATTCTATCATCCTCTATGTGAAATTCAGGTTAGGATTACCAGAACCCGTTCGTTATAGCAGATTTAGTATCTGGTATAGTAAGGTGTAGAGAACTGGGTGTGTGTGGGAATATATATAGGTAAGTACATACAGTCCCTACCCAGATGTCTTCGTGATTCCGGAGGCTCGGCGGCAACCTCAAAACCCGCGAATTCACTCACGAATGATATGAGATCAATGCCTGATAGAGTTGCTGCAGTAATTGCAGCGGACGGGTGGCAAACTAAATATTATGATACATGTTTTAACTAACTCATTGAGTACCTATTAATTGTTGATCATTGAATGCCGAGCGTCGACGAGCGTTCGTTGCCATTGCGCGCCGTACCTCCCGAATCACGAAGACATCTGGGTAGGGACTGTATGTACCTACATGTAGGTACAAGCTTGTGGTAGAAATATCAGTGGCTTAACCAGCCCTATAAACCCGATCTCGGTAGAGCTTTGGATAAAGTACCATGTATACCTGATTGAGAGAACCGAATAGGTACAGCACCCTACCAAAATTCGTGGGAAGTCATCTATTTTACACCTTTTCAACCCGGCTCTCAAGCACCAATTAAGATAAATATTATCTGAGAACTGCAAGACCATATATTTTGTATATAAATAATCACTTTATCAGCTGAAAATTATAATATTACATTCCTAGCATGAGCTGTATTGGTTTTGGTCCGTTGAGTTGTAGAAAATACGCCAAGACCACATATTTGTATGGATGTAGCCGAATCTCCAGATTGCTCTACTTCTAGCTCCTGTACTTTGTTCCACATCTGAGTTGAGATAGTGCCCTTTTGGATATATTAAACTTAATAGCCAATATTTCATCCCCTAAAGCCTTATTCATTGTTGATGGCAATTATGTTGTGGGGGGTGGTTGCGTTTGGACCAGGTTTTGGTGTGGTTTGGTTGACTTCCCACGACTTTTGATATGGCGCTATACATATTCCATCCTCCTATCCGAGTGGTTCTGGTCAAGGTTGAGAGGGAGGGAAAAAAGAAAAAAGACTGTGTAGGTGTTGTCGAGAGATTTCGCTTGGTTGTTTAGCGGAACCGACCGAATGCGTGTCTATGGCTCGCTCGATTCGAGAACTTAGACAGTGGATAAAAAGAGATTTGGACCGTTAGATGTGCCAGAAAGTTGACTAAAAGACCAGACATGTTCGGTACGTAACTATTCTGTTTTAGCTTAGCTATTCCAGAATGGCCAATAGATTCTGTATGCACCACCCGACAATACTCGTAATTTCTTGACGTCTTTGTATGGTATGCAATAGTGGTTCCTTTTGAAATTGCGAGTACTCAGAATATGTAATCGGCAGCTGCATCGACTCGCATGCATTGCTTGTTGCTTCTTTCAAACATACCAAAATCTTATCTAATACGAGGGAACTTTTCGTGCTGTCGCGTTGATTCTGCTGCCTAAATCTGTTCTTGATCTCTTGTAAGAAAGTGTCATGTATGACATTATAGAGGAAGTAAGACCCTAGATAGTCTATTCCACTCTGATTACTTTGGAAACAGTGCTTTTTGATCAAAGATTTTTGATTCGTCCCGACATCTGATCATGCAGCCATATAGAGTACCTGAATCTAGCCAGGTGTTGTATGTATAGCTAGCACATTTTAGAACTTGGGCAGGCCCTTAGAAGTTAGAAGTAAGCTCAGAAAAACATAGCCAATGTATAGGAGTCTTCGCAGAGCGACGTGGAGATTTATACTGTGCGTCTACGGCAATAAAGACACCGAGCGCGTGTGATGACCTAGAGTCCTCATTCCAGGTACCTCATCGGATTGCCCAGCGCGTGCAGGACTGCATATCCACTGGTAATCAATTGGCTGAGCTCTCCGTAGACTATCACAGTAAAGACCGGGTCGGTCCTGGAAGCTTTGCTCTGTAAATACTGCTGATTGTGACATTTTCGGTCTTGTAATAAGGGAATTAAGGAAGAGTTGAATCGGAATATACCTTAGATACTATATTTGTGCCTAGAATATATAGATGTATTTTTATCTTATTAGATCTAGCTATTGAATTCGAGCTATTCATGAAAGCGTGAAATTAGCATACTCCGCGATATCGGGCTAAAATCCCTGTACGCTGGAGTTCAATTAGAGTTTAACCCTTTTTGAACAGCTTAGTGTCCCTGCTGTTGTTATAGTAAAGGGCCGGGGCGTATCTTCGCCGATTGTTCGGGTGCTCTAGCTCTGAGACTGTGGATTGAGGGCTTTCTAGGCTTCCTCTCTCTTTTTCACCACTCTCCTACAACCGCCGATGGTGCATCTTGGCCTTCAGCCTGGCTGGGTTGATCGGGCTCCACGTCGCGAGAGCTAAAGCAGAGGCCCCCTAATCGTGCGAAGTAATTTCTTTTGTCAACACCTAGACAGGGAATGGAACTGATCCGCCTTGACAGATAAAACAATGGTGGAGGAACGAGACCTAGGATAGGCTCGCCGTGGCAGCTTGTAGCGCAGGACAGCTAATTATAATGGTTCGCAATATGCTGCTCTTGGTATTGGTTTGTTTGAGGATAGTAAGCCAAGTGTACGTAGGTGCTCTATATATACTCAACATCCCGCCATCCAGTTAATCCTCATTTCTGTAGCACTCCCTTCAGCTAACTGAAATATTCGGTGCATTCTTCTACTCAAAAGGCCAATCCCACACAAACCAAATTCTTCTACAGAATAACCATCCATGGATCACCGCAACCCGCCAAACAGTCAACCCCCACCGCCGATTTCAGGGGCCACGGCATATACCGATTCTGTAACTGAGGCAGACCAAGAGTCGGCTAGGAAAAATGAGCAACGAAATTTCTCTGCCTTCTCTAGTATGTCTGGCAAGGGTCCCGAGCCAGCCATAACGGGCCTAGCAGGGCCATTGGGTGGTTTGATACACCAGAGTAATAAAAAGTCAATGGATTTGGACGAATACTTTGTGCGTTACTTGCTTCATAATTCTAAAATATCGGCGAGTGCTGACTGAAGTTGTAGAGTGGACCGATAGATCCGACACGGCATTCGAAATACCCGCGTTTCATGAGGATGCACGGGTCTATCATGCCAATGATGATTGTACCGATGACTTTTGTCTTGGTTTGGGCTACTGTGGTGACAGTAATTAGTCAAACGGTATATTCGCTTCAGGTCGACTCCGTGCTCCTTACAGTGTTGGGTTTTGTCGTTGGTTTGTCTCTATCATTCAGGTCATCGACAGCATATGAGCGCTACATAGAAGGAAGAAAGTAAGCACAAGAAACCTTGGCATTTTTATGGGGGGAAATGATACTTACGCATCTTTAAGGTTCTGGCAGCAACTTATTCTCCATTCTCGCAACATCGCCCGTGTAATTTGGGTCCATGGTAAGGAGCGCCCAGGCGAGGAAGGCAAGGAAGACCTTCTCGCAAAATTGACTGCAATCAATCTTGTCCTCGCCTTTGCCCAGGCAGTAAAGCACAAACTCCGCTACGAGGTCGAATACGATTACCAGGATTTAAAGCCCTTAATCGATAACATTTCCACATACGCTAAGTCCGCAAATTCCACCGACACATGCCCAAAAGAGCACAATAAAGCTTTCCGAAAGCTCAAAACATGGGGTTCCTCTCTCGGTATCACCTTTCTTATAAGCAACCCACGGAAAGCGGTGAAGAAAGCGGCAAGCGCAGGAAAACACCATGGCAATCTTCCTTTTGAGATCATGACACATATTGGGGCTTACCTCGACCACATCATCGGCAATTCATTGCTTGTGGGTCCCTCTTGGCATACGCAAGTAAGCGGAAGCCAATTGAGTATGATGGATGCATATGGAGGTTGCGAGAGGGTCCTTCAGACACCTTTGCCGCTTGCGTATTCAATCGCCATCTCACAGATCACGTGGCTGTACGTCTTGATGTTGCCGTTCCAGCTGTTCCCAAAACTTGGATGGGTTTCTATCCCAGGGACACTTGTAGCTGCGTATATCATTCTTGGTATTGCGGCTATTGGCCTAGAGATTGAAAATCCGTTTGGTACAGATGTGAATGATCTTGATCTTGACCGATATTGTGATGGACTCAAGATGGACTTGAATATACTCACTTCCATGCCTCCACCGAGTTGCGATAGCTGGATCAAAAACGAAAATAACAAGCCTCTGTCACCATACTCAATCGGGGGTTATGACAGTTGGAAGAACAGGAGCATGAAAGATATCAGAAATGCTCTTGCGCATAAGGTGAATCATCAGTCCGTATTATTGATGAACCAAGAGATGGAGGAGAGCAGTTCACAAAGAGTAGAAGAAGAGCGAAGGACGGGAGTTTAGGCCTGGTTTTAATGTTGCTTATTAGAAGTCGAAAAGGCGCATTCATAGTTTATGTTATTAGATATGCATATTTCTCTCGTTTAGTTCT